CAGATCACGAGGTCAGGAGATCGAGACCATCCTGGCTAACATGGTGAAACCCCGTCTCTACTAAAAAGTACAAAAAATTAGCCGAGCATGGTGGCGGTCACCTGTAGTCCCAGCTACTCGGGAGGCTGAGGCAGGAGAATGGCATGAACCCGGGAGGCGGAGCTTGCAGTGAGCTGAGATCACACCACTGCATTCCAGCCTGGGCGACAGAGCGAGACTCCATCTCAAAAAAAAAAAAAATAGGGAGGAAAGCAATTTTGTAAAAATTTGATTATAGAGAAGGAGAAATAGAGAATTATTATTTAATGGGTCTAGAGTTTCAGTTCCACAAGATGAAAACATTCTAGAGAACTTTTCACATTGTACAATGAGTATGAGCTGTACACTTTACACTACTGAACTGTACACTGAAAAATGGGTAAGCTAGGCATGGTATCACATGCCATAAGTCCCAGCTACTCATGAGGCTGAAGCAGAAGGATCACTTGAGCCCAGGAATTCAGGACTATAGTGTGCTATGACCACCTGTGAATAGCCACTGCACTCCAGCCTGGGCAACATAGTGAGACCCTGTCTTTTTTTTTAAAAAAAAAAAAAAAAAGGGCTGGGTGCAGTGGCTCATGCCTGTAATCCCAGCGCTTTGGGAGGCCGAGGCAGGTAGATCACGAGGTCAGGAGTTCAAGACCAGCCTGACGAACATGATGAAACACTGTGTCTACTAAAAATTGGCCGGGCATGGTGGCGCATGCCTGTAATCCCAGCTACTCAGGAGGCTGAAGCAGGAGAATCTCTTGAACCCGGGAGGCGGAGGTTGCAGTGAGCCGAGATCATGCTATTGCACTCCATCCTGGGGGACAGAGCGAGACTCTGTCTCCAAAAAAAAAAAGAAAAAAGAAAAAAAAGGTTAAGATGGTAAATTTTATGTTCTGTATTTTTATCGTAATTTTCTTAAAATATGACTGTATATAGGCAAAACCTGGAAAGAAACCCCTCCTTCTGCAAGTAAAAATACTTCTTAGGTTGGGGTGATAGCATTCTGGGAAAGTACTTAATATACTTTATTCTTAAGGTTTCATTAGCATACTGCTTTCAAGGTATTTTTTTTTTAGTGTAGTCTAGATCCACATCCCATAAATTCATCTCCAATCTTAATTCATAGTGCCCTTGCCTTTTTTCCCTTTTTAGAACGTTAAGGTCATGCTTGCCCATCCCACTCTTACAGAACCTCTTTCGTATTCTCCATATTTTTTCAAAGACCACTTGGAAAGCTGTTTCACTATTCTCATAGTCTCTCAGCACTCTGAGACATAATTTATTTGAGCCAGGAGATCTGCATTCACTTGGGTATTAGATGTATTCTTTCCCCCAGTTCATTCTCTTCTGACTTTAATTCCTTTTCATCAGTACTTGATCAGCCTTCTCTAAGGAGTTACCCCAGCAGCTTAGTGGTTGGCTCAGCTCTTCCTTGCCTAAGTGATTGCTCTGAACCTAATTGTAAATGCCTGTTTGTTGGGACCCTCTTCTGACCGATTAAAATCCATTGCCTTCCACAACACCTTTTAAAATTCTTTTAACAGTCCGAAGAGAAATCTCACTAGAAAATGGCTGTGAAACCAGTATGTGTAATATTTTATTATAATTTAATGTTACATTGATTAGAAATGAAGGCATTTTCAGGGAATTCTATTTATTTTGGTAATAGGTAGATCAATGGATGCATAAAGTTCTTTAAAAATCCATATGGATTATTCTCAAATAGGACGCCCAGTGAAACTATACTGGGTTTAGGGCGTGATTTTCTCTTCTCATGTGTGATGATCACTTTTTGAGAGTTTTTCAACTTTCAGGAGGCATCTCTCCTTTTGCAGTCATCCTGGTTCTTTCTGGTTTTGAAACCTACCTTCCTTCCAACTAGAGTTCACTCTGAATTATGCAAAGCCATTCCCTCCCTGTAATTCTGACCGAGCTGCCCCTCCCAGGGTTCCACACTTCTCTCCTGTGTCCTCAGCCAGTTTATCCTGGTGGGCCAATATCTGGCCCAGTCTGGGGAGCAGTTCCTGCCACCCCTTTTCTCTTCTGGAGAACATAGCCATCGAGAGGCAAGTCAAGTACTTGGATATTCAGGCCAGGTGAAGTGGCTCACACCTGTAATCCCAACACTTTGGAAGGAGGCCAAGACCAACAGATCACTTGAGGTCAGGAGTTCTAGACCACCCTGGCCAACATGATGAAACCTCGTATTCTACTAAAAAAATACAAAAAATTATCTGGGCATGGTGGCGCACACCTGTAGTCCTAGCTACTCGGGAGTCTGAGGCAGGAGAATCGCTTGAACCTGGGTGGTGGAGGTTGCAGTGAGCTGAGATCACACCACTGCACTCCAGCCTGAGCTACAGAGTGAGACTCCATCGCAAAAAACAAAAACAAAAAACTTGGATAGCCAAGTAAGGTAATTGTGTGGTGTCTAGAGAGCTAAAGTCCCCTGGTTTCATGCCCATTTTGTGATTTGCATCTAAAATTGAACCCCAGTGTAGCCACTACCAGCTCCAACACTGAACTCATACCCCCATCTTGTTTCCTCTATACCCAGCCATTCAACCACTCCCTCAGAAACTGCATTCTTTTAAAGCAAGTCCCAGATATCATTTCATCTGTAAGTAGTTCACTAGGTAGCTCTAAAAGACTCTAAGGACTTTTTCTTAAACATAACCACAAATACCATTATCACCCAAAAAATTAGCAATAGTTCCCTAATAGCATCCCATTTCTCGTCAGGTCCAGATTTCCTTGATTGTCTCATAGAAGGTTTTTTTTTTTTTGGTCAGTTGGCTTGTTTGAATTAGGATCCACATATTGCCTACATTTGCATTTATCGATTTCTCTCTGTTTCTTTTAGTCTGTAGGTTACCCTTTCTTTTATTGCGTTTCAGTTTGCTGTTGTTGGTGATGGTATTGAAGACATTAGTCCTTTTCAAAAATATATATATGTGAGATGAATGTAATACATTGATCTTGATTCTTTTATTACACCAATATAAATTTAAGTTTCAATTCCTTAATTCTACAGCCAAAGGTAAAGGACAGTCCCTACATATACTGAGTGGTAAACCAAAGATACTAAAAATCAGTGTTAGCCAAAATAAACAGAGTGGAACACTAGTCCCAACATCCTTGTCCTGATCCCTCCCTGAGCCCTGGGTCCCTGTGAATCCCTAGAACCTTTCAACAAGCAGTGCCTGTGGTGTATTCAGTTAAAAAAAAATCAACTGCAGGACTGCAGCATCTTTTTATATCTTAAGTTTATGACCACACACTTCTCCCTTCCCTACCTCTGCAGCCTGTCTGCAATGAAGGAGGTACTAACAAAAGCAAGAACATCTCTTCAGTTAGGAGGTCAGCAAAGGGAAAAATGAACCAGGGCAAGAGAAAGCTGGGATTGCCAGAGACCATTGGCTCTCTGGGTAGCTTGGATCCAAAGTCAGAGGAGAGGCAGCCGGTTGTGGCTCACTGATTGGGTGACTGGGTGACCCCCCTCCCTCTGACCACAGGCAGGTGAGCACAGTCCTGCTTTAGCTGGGGTCCCTCATAGTGATCTGGTTCTATACTCTTCCTGTGGTGCTTGGTTGGAGTCGGTGGGGATGGCGGCTGCACATTTATGCAGTGGCCTTTTGACCCTTCGAGGTGGTGTTAGTCTACTTTGAGCTTAGCCTGTGTTTGATGGGCACTTCACAGACCATTAAATTCACAAACCATTTCATTCTTAACTCCCCACTACCTCTTACTTTTTAACCATGACATTGTGGGAAATGTTTGTCACTCCAAAATTGTGGAATTTTGCCATTCTACAATTGTAGCAACTTTGGGGCAATTACTTTTATAAAATTACTTTTATAAGCCCTCTGGATTGAAAAAATAATAAAAAACAAAACAAGAAAACCTTACGAACCACCTAGTCCCCTCACCATCTGGAAGATGGAACCTAGTAGAAGTAGTGATGTCCAGATCCATTCACAGGGTGGAGTCAGGCCTGGAGATTTTGAAACCTGCAAGATGAAAATTTCCCTTTAATGAGTGTGGACTGTGTCCACCTGTGTTTGGATTTATGCCCAAGGGAGAAGAGCAGTGAGTGGGGAGGGCTGAGCAGGCATGGCTGGTGGGAGTGAGCCCATTGGTGTTTGTTCACCTGCTGTGTGGGCATGGAAATCTGGCTGGTGAAGCACATGGCCAGGGCTGGTGGTGCTGTCTCCTCCCTCTGCATGCGCTGCTGGCAGAACCTGGGCTCTGGAAAACAGGGATAATATCACCTGCCTACTGCCATCACTGAAAGGTCAGAGGGTGGCCCTCACAGCCACCTAGCATATGCCAGTCACACCCTAGCCCTAGAGGCAGAAAGACGCTTCCAGACCAGTCCCACCAGCTGTGCCTAGAAAGGGTTAAGGGCCTGTCTACTTCTACTTCGATTTCCTTGCCCCTTCAATGGCATAAAGCTAATCAAAAGATAGATTTGGAGGAGATCCCAGTTAATGATTTTACCTTACCTCTTGATCAGCAACAACAGAAGTTTTTTTAGGTTTTCCCCTCCACATCCACCCTCCCCTTCCATGTGCCTGTCATTAAACCAGAAAACTTGCCTGCCAGGTAGGAAGCCAAATACAGAAAGTGTTCACATGACAATTGAAGCAGACTTTGGTCCTGGCAGGCTCAGTGACTAAGAGAAGGCCCAGGTGCTAGAAGAGAGTGTCGGGGGTGCCACCAACAAAGCCTCTGGCGCTAGAGAGGGCCTTTGCTGGAGTCCCCTTCCCCTGCGCTGTCTTGGTGTTCCATAGATTTCTCCAGAGATGTTTGAGCTCTGCACATTAGAGCCTGTTTTAATGCAGAGGCCACAGCCTGAGAGCCGGCCCGCTCCACACAAGCACCTTGCCCCATGGCTAGAGCCCACTCCTGGCTGCCCATCTGCAGCCCCACACTGCAGTCACCCTCACTCGCTGTGGTTCTTCCAGGGCCCAGGAAACCTTCATGCAATGGGACCAGTGCCGGCGGTTCTACAACTTCCTCATGGCCGACAACATGAAGAAGATCATCCTCTCGCACAGGTAGGTCACCTTCCGTTCTCTCTCAGGAGACAGACAGTTCCTTCCTGAGCTCATCTGGGAGCCATGAAAAGCCAGGGCTCCTGTTCCTTCAGGGGAAAAAAAATACAGGTATGGTACAGACTCTCTGCTGCCTGCATTTGTGACTTGATTAGAAACAAACTTATCTTGGCCAGGCGCAGTGGCTTACACCTGTAACCCCAGCGCTTTGGGAGGCTGAGGCGGGCAGATTGCTTGAGGCCAGGAATTCGAGACCAGCCTGGCCAACATGGCGAAACCCTGTCTCTACCAAAAATATAAAAATTAGCCGGGCGTGATAGTGCCACTGTAATCCCAGCTACTTGGGAGGCTGAGGCAGGAGTCACTTGAACCCAGGAGGCGGAGGTTGCAGCGAGCCAAGATTGTGCCAATGTACCCCAGCCTGGGTGACAGAGCGAGTCCCTGTCTGAAAAAAAGAAAAGAAAAGAAAAGAAAAGAAACCTGTCCCAAGCTACTAAATTTGCCAAATCACCTTATGCTTTTGTAATTCCCAGTAAATCTAAGACAAGGAACCAGTTCTACCCTCTTTTCTCCCAAATTAGAGCGGTCACGAGGTGGCTGTCATTGTTGAGGAGACCTTCCCCGTAGGATGCTTCTGTGCCTGGGGGATCAGGACTCATTCTTGGCTGACCCTTGGGCTTCTGACCAAGCAGCAGGGGGACAGGAGTCTCAGGGCATGGTTTCAGCACCTCCCTCCTCTGCATATTCTTCATGCTTATCCTGCCTCTCCACCTCGTAATCCTGTGGTGGATTAACCTGTCAAGTGCTTAGAGCAGTGCTGGTATGCGTAGCACCAGATAAATATTAGCAATGACTTTTTCATTGTGATTATTATTATTGCTGACATCTCTGCCTCCTCCGCTACATCTCTCATTCCCTGTAGCTGGACTAGGCTACTTAGAGGTTCCCGTGCCCCCAGCCTCTCCCACACTGCCCTTGCTGAGAATACTCTCCCATTTCTCTGCTGGTGGGAACCTAGCCCATCCTTTAAAGTCCATCTCAGTTCTCCTATTTTTGTGAAGCCAACTCATCCATGCCCAAGTTGCTTTTCTGTTGCTTCCCCTCTGTAAATCCTTTGTCTAGAACCAAACTGGAGAGCATTGGAGGGCTTAGGCATGTGTTGATTGCTCCCAGCATCTGAGACACACCCGTGCGCTCAAAAAAATCTGGGGCATTTTTGGTACCACCCTAGGAAAAGCAATCTGACTAAATGATTGGTTTCTTGTTATCTTTTTTTCAGTGGCTAAAGCAGGCCACACACCCCAGATTAGACTTCCTATGGGTGGGCGTTCACATGGCGCCTGAGCAAGGCTGGGCTCGAAGGCCCCATCAGGCTGTCACATTGCCAGATGTGTCCTCATGTCCTCGTTTCAGGAAGGAGAGCAGAGGGAGACCTGTGTCCCCTGTGCTGGCTGAAAAATCAGCTGTTCCCACTCGGCTCATGTTTGAGATTTAGCAGTGTACTGGGCACTGAGGTGCGTGCGGCTGAGCCAAGGTTTGGATGGGTCTGGAGATTGCAGAGGTTTTGTAGCCAGAAGGGGTGGATCCAGGCCTCTGACACCAAGTCCAAGTCCTTTGTCTGCCTTTCTGCACCTCTGGAGTCGAAAGTGACTCCTCCCAGGAAACATTTGTTTTGCTAAAGGAACCTGGTCTTGCTACTAATTAGTCTAGAAGGTTCAAATTATGAGACCCCTTTGAGTGTGTGCTAAGTATTTACATTTTTTAAATTTACTACAAAAAGTCAAACATCTAGAAATTTTAGGTTAACTTTGAATTTGTACATTCTGTCCAGTAGGTATATAATTTTCCTAACAGTCTTTTGAAAAAAATAAATGCTACAGAAATGTTTTCTTCTTTTGGAGAGGTTGTGAGTGGGTAGCAGAATACCAAGTTGGCATAATAAATCCTTCCTTAATAAATCTAGGGCCATGCTTCAGCAAACTCAGTCTGCTTCTAGGTGTGTGACTGAGAGCCGTTGCTGGGAAGAGAGGTCAAAAGGGCATGTTGTGACCCCTACCTCTAATGTCATCCTCTCAAGATGGATTTTTTCTTAATAGAAATGCTGGTTCCACTTGGGGGTTGGGGAAAAAAAAATGATTGCTCTCCTGAATAGATGTTAGCTTTTATCTGAGACACTAGAGAGCTGTTGATTTGCCCAAATGCTAAATGAGTTAACCCTTGTCTTCCTTGGTTTTTGTTTGTTTTTTTCCACTCCTTCCTGCACACTGAGTCTTCCTTGTTAAGCAACACAAACAGCTCATTAAGGAGAAGGGTCTCTGCCAAGGGGGACATTGTCAACACAGTGTAAGGACGAGGCCCCTACGGCTTGGCCCACGGCCCACCACTCACCACAGGGCCCATCTTGAGTCCACCTCCCCTGTGCTGAAGGTTTTTAAATATTCAACTAGGTTCAAACCCAATCTTTAGTTTGTCTGGGTACCCCTGAAAAGGGAAACAAGGTTTTGACATTCATCTTTCTACAGTTATTAAAAAGTCAACAGCGCCAGCTCATCCTCTGGGATGTTCCAAAGGCTAAAGATTCTATTTCTAACTGACCACAGTGGCTCTGCCTCCTGGCTTGCTCTGGCAAGGAAGCAGGCTCTGCTGTGGTTGTTCGTCCCCCACATCTTAATCTCTGTTTGCTTTTGTTTGCTCTAGGCAAGCTCTTTTTGGAGACCACGTTAAGAAACCCCAGAGCCTGGAGGACACGGACTTGAGCCGGCTCTACACAGCAACATCCCTGATGCAGATCGATGACAATGTGATGAGGTATGTCCGCGCAGGCGGGAGAGAGACGCTCTGGGGCAGCGTGCCAGGCGGGAGGCTGCAGGTCAGCTCTGCCTAGCACTAGTGCTTTGCTCTGCCTACTTTAGTGTTAAGGGTGCTTTTTTTCCCTTTAAGTAAGTGTCTAGTGTTTAAAAACAGAAGATTTCACAGGAACATTTCAATTTCTAGTTTCTCCTGGAAAATAGGAAAAGGATCTGACGACCCATTCTGCATTCCTACAAAGCATAGTTAGCTTGATTTAAGGAACTGGGGCATGCAGGCCCTAGCGTGGGCAGTCTTCACCCTACCTGTCCTGCCTCAACAACAGGGCAAGTGTCAGGTGCCACATTAATCTGCATTTTGCAGTGGAGTAAAAGGCAAAGGAAGTATTTCTTGTACTTCTCTGTGTCTCTAACAAGAATAGAAAAACTGGCTGGGGGCAGTGTCTCATGCCTGTAATCCTAGGAGGATTTGGGAGGCCATGGGGGAAGATCGCTTGAGCCCAGGAGGTTGAGGCTGCAGTAAGCCGTGTTCATGCCATTGCACTCCAGCCAGGGCAACACAGCAAGACCCTTCTCAAAATTAAAAAAAAAAAAATGTAGGAAAATGGAAGATAGACCAAGAGGGCTGTGTGTTTCAAGCAAAATGAACAGAGCCTCTTACTTTGGGGCATGGAGACTCCCCTGAGTGTGAGACACAAATACTGCCCACTTCATTCATCTACTCTACCTGCCTCTCTCCTCCAGGCACCTGAGGTTGCAGTCTTGACAGTGTCTTCTTTCCTGGTACCAGTAGATTCTGATTGAGGTTACCCTCAGCTGAAAAAGGAAAAGGTGGCTTCTGACCTCTTCATTCTCTTTAAAGACGTGATCCTTTTTATTTAACAATCATTTGAGGCCAGGAACAGTGGCTCATGCCTGTAATTCCAGCACTTTGGGAGGCTGAGGCTGGAGGATCACGTGAGGCGAGGAGTTTGAGACCAGCCTGGGCAACATAGCAAGTCCCTGTCTCTACAAAAAAAATTGAAAAATAAAAATAGCCAGGCATAGTGGCACACACACCTGTAGTCCCACCTGCTTGGGAGGCTGAGACAGGAGGATCACTTGAGCTCATAAGTTTGAGATTACAGTGAGCTATGGCCACAACACTGCAGTGGAGCCCAACTTAGGCAACAGAGCAAGGTCCTGTCCCTAAAAAATAAAAAATAAATTATTTGATATTTTTAGGTGTAGTTTAAAGCAAGCAATTATTCTTCATCTAATAGATAGGCAGATATTGACCTGAGGGTATAGGATCTCTGCTTTGCTTTGCTTCCTTACGAGATTTTAGTAGCCTTCCTACACCAAGTAACCTTGAAATATGCCTGCTAACAGTTTCTCAAAGGAAATGAAAACTAGGAAATTGCTGGTATGTTCAGAAGGTGAAAAATGAATCTTTCCCACCTTCACTTAAGATGAGGTGTGTGACTGTATTGCGGTGTGTAGTAAGAAAAAATAAATAAATTAAATTTCCCATTCATCTCCTAAATTTTTTAAGCCCAAAAGAGAATGTTTCTCAACACTCTCCAAAGTCTTTCCTCTTTAATAGTGTTGGATAGTAGCAATTTTATGATCATAACCAGTCTTGGTGGCCTCCTCATAGATCCATCCCAGCAATACTGGAGGGATAGAATGCATCCCCTGCCTGCTGAGACTGCAAACGAACTGATTTCACAAGGACAGGCATCTTGGCGATGATCTCTACACTTGGCCTCCTCCCTGTCAAGAGGGCCCTAATAGTCCAGCCTGAGCTTTCCAGGCCATTCCCAGGCAGAGATGTCTAATGAGATCCACAGCTTTGGGGGAGGGAGGATAGCTTAAAGACCCTAGTCAGAACAGGAAGACCCGCCATTCAGAAGTCAGAGGCCCTAATCTGTGTCGGAAAGAGGTTTTGAGATCCTCTGGCCTAGGCCTCCTGGTGTCAGAGCTCCAGGATGAACCTTGTGGGGCCTCTGGGAGCACAGAGCAGAGCAGGGAAGAGCTGCGGCCCCTCATTCATGCCGAGCACTGAAGGTTTTGTTATATGCCAGTTTATCTCTATTGCTCCGTAGTCAGAGATATGGAGCAGTAGTCAGAGATGAAGGGACAGAATTGGTAACTTTGAATGACAGTCTCATTTCTGTTATCTAATACATATTTTATTCCAGTTCACAGTGGTCCTGTTACTCCACCAAGAACTCTGTTAATAGGAAACTTCCAGTAAATGTCCTTGAATTTCAGTTTCTCCATATCTGTAGTGACAACTGGTTTTATACTGCCTCAAGAGATGTAACATACACTAATAATTACATAGATAACAGTTACTACAGGGTAATTACTCTGGATGGGTCATGATGGTAGTAAGCACTTTTACATCGTAAGTCTCACAGTTCCATTGAGGAAGGCCCTGCCTTCAGATTCATTTTATACAGGAGAAGCTGAGGCTCAGATAAGTTGAACCATTTGCCCAAGATCACATAGCCAGTAAATGACCGAAGCAGGATTTGAACCCCGATGCCAAAGCCAGTGCTCTTAACCCCGAATCTTGCTACCCACATACATTATATTGGTATGATGAGTTAGCGCAGGATCTGGAACAGTCATAAAATCAGCTCAGCATTCAGGCCTAACTCCTGCCTCTGTCTACTGTACCAATGCCACAAGTTAGCATGAGGAACTGGAGCCATAATCGGCTCAGCATTCTGATCTTATGACCAATGTTTTGTCCTTTTTCTTTTTTTCTTTTTCTGGTGTGTTCCAGGAAGTTTCATGGCTATAACTCCCTGAAGGAATACTATGAGGAAGAAAGTTGCATGCGGTACCTGCACAGGGTGAGTGACCATCACTGGCTCAGAATTAGCATCACTCCATCCAGCCTCGCACACAATACAACAAATATCCCTCCTAAATTTTCCTGGTGGAAGCTTAGCTGGAATCTGGCTCCGACCGCTCTTTTAGCTTGGATTTGTTTATTGAACCATACTTTCTTCCTCTGTAACTGCCATACATTAATCCCAGAGCTGCCCCTTAGACTGGTGTGCTCCCATGTCTGTGTGAGGGCCTTTAAAATTGCTCCAACACCCACTTTTTTGTTAGTCTTCCTTTGACAGCATAATCCTGTCTGGTTTCTGCCAGATCAATGAGATCTGTCTAGGTTTCTTACCATGCGGGACCCTCTTTTGGCCATTCTGTATTTTGTTACCATAGTGCCTAAGACTGAACTCAAAATTCCTGCCATTATCTGGTAAGCATAGAGTAAAGCTGATGTGTTTCTGTATCAAAGTGATGATGAGCATGTCTATTTTTATTTCTTTTTCTTTTCCTTTTTTTTTTTTTTTTTTTTGAGATGGTGTCTCACTCTATCGCCCAGGCTAGAGTGCAATGGCGCAGTCTCTGCTCACCATAACCTCCACCTCCTAGGTTTAAGCGATTCTCCTGCCTCAGCCTCCTGAGTAGCTGGGATTACAGGCGTGCACCACCACACCTGGCTAATTTTTGTATTTTTAGTAGAGACGGGGTTTCACCATGTTGGTCATTCTGGTCTCAAACTCCTGACCTCGTGATCCACCTGCCTCAGCCTCCCAAAATGCTGGGATTACAGGCGTGAGCCACCATGCCCAGCCAAGAGTGTCTGTTGATAAGGTAGACTGGTTTGTATTAATGCAACTTTTAGCAGCTACAATAAACCTTGTGTGTATTAAGTTTGTGGCCAACCAAAATCTCCATATGTTTGTTTAACCTGAATGACCAACAAGCCAGTCTCTCTCATTCTGTCTTTGCACAATTGATTGCCCTATTTATCCAAACACAGGACTTCCCATTTATCCTTGTCAATGTCCACCTGTAGGTTTGGCCCACCATTTCCCTGGCTGAAGCAGATCACTGGGAACTGTAGTTGTGCTATCTTATCAGCCATCCCTCCTAGTTTAGCATCATCAGACTTTTGATGTCATCATTTAAGCCATTATAGGAATGTTGAGCTGTCTAGAGCCAACATCAGAGACCTACAGGATAGCACAATCATTCACTGCCTCAGTATGGCTGTTCAGTGACATCTGAGTCTCCCTATCAGTACCATCTCCACTAAAATGAAAAAGAAGGCTATTGGCTGTTTTAGTAAAGTGGATGTTGAATGCAACCCTGCCAATGGTTTTCCAATATCCACCAGCCTACTCCTGTTTTTAACCTTCAGATTCTTTTTCTTTTTTTTTTTTTTTTAAGAGACAGGGTCTTGCTCTGTTTCCCAGGCTAGAGTGCAGCGGCGTGATCATAGTTGACCACAACTTTGAAATCCTGGGCTCAAATGATCCTCCTGCCTCAGCCTCCGGAGTAGCTGGAACTATAGGCATGAGCCACACACCTGACCTAGATTCTTTTGATTTGTTCTGTTTTTGTTTTTGTGTTTGTTTTAACAAATAGAGACTGGGTTGTGGGTCTCACTATGTTTCCCAGGCTGGTCTCAAACTCCTGGGCTCAAGCAGCCCTCCCACCTTACCCTCCCAAAGTGCTGGGATTACAGGCATGAACCACTGTGCCCAGCCTTGGCCTAGATTCCTCTAGAATCTCTTTTGTCTGGTGTGGAGTGCACTTCATTTTTCCCTCCCATGATATAAACTGAATTAATATGTACATAATTCATTATAAAGTCATTTCCTAAAAGGCATGGCTAATCTGAAACACTCTGATGATCATCAGGAAGCTTTGGTTCTGCACACTCCTGCTTCCAGGGCAGTAATCACAATGGCAGATGTAACTCATCACACTACCAGAGAATACAAGGCGTCCTTACTCTACCTGTTCAGCAAGCTGAACTGTGACCCTCTTCCCTTTGCTTCAAAAATATGTCCAGCAGTGAGTTTGAGCCTTGAATCAATGGGGTCTGAAAATGGGAATCAGTCATTTAATTCTGCTTTATTTTCTTGTTGCAGATTTATGTTCCTCTCATGCTAGTTAATGCAGCTGACGATCCGTTGGTGCATGAAAGTCTTCTAACCATTCCAAAATCTCTTTCAGGTAAGTGTTTCTTCCTACTGCGCTCTCAGCAGCTCAGCAAATTGCCACAGTAAATTCTGTCACCTTCACTATGCTGTCATCTCCTGGAGACCACCCTCTTTAGGGAAAGACATCTCATAGCAGTCAGTGTTCTTATTTTGTGTAGCCTGATAGTCCTCGGGCTATGATGGGGCCTGGGCATCAGGCTCCCCTCATGTTCCTCCCAGGGCATGAGACAGGACCACCATGTATATTCATAGCCAGTAGGGCTCTGGGGAATCACCTGATGTTCTGTGAAATTATCTCAGGGTTAGGGTTCCCTTAAGTTTGAGAGTTTGACATAAAGAGATATTTAGATTTAAAATTCGGGACTAGGTACGGTGATTAACACCTGTAATCCTAGCACTTTGTGAGGTTGCAGTGGGAGGATCACTTGAGGCCAGGAGTTCGAGACAAGCCTGGGCAATATAGTAAGACCCTACCTTTACAAAAAACTTGAAAATTAGCTGGACATGGGGAGGCTGAGGCAGGAGAATGGCATGAACTTGGGAGGCAGAGCTTGCAGTAAACCGAGATTGCGCCACTGCACTCCAGCCTGGGTGACAGAGCGAGACTCCGTCTAAAAAAAAAAAAAATTAGCTGGACCTGGTGGCACATGCCTGTAGTCCTAGCTACTCAGGAGGCTGAGGCAGGGAGATCACTTGAGTCCAGGAGTTCAAGGCTGCAGCAAGCTGTGATTGTGCCACTGCACTCCAGCCTGGGCAACAGAGCAAGATTCTGTCTCTAAAAATAAATAAATATTTAAAAAAAATAAAATTTGACTTGAAAAGCAAAACAAAAAATCCTGTTCTGCTATCTCTTGTGATAGCCTCTCCATCTGCTTTAAACATAAAAATAGAAGCAACTGGGCCGAGTGTGGTAACTTATGCCTATAAATCCCGGCACTTTGGGAGGCCGAGGTAGGCGGATCACTTGAAGTCAGGAGTTTGAGATCAGTCTGGCCAACATGGTGAAACCCCATCTCTACTAAAAGTACAAAAATTAGCTGGGCATGGTGGTACATGCTACTGGAGAGACTGAGGCATAAGAATTGCTTGAACCCAGGAGTGGAGGTTGCAGTAATTTTTTCTGTCTCAAAAAAATCAAAAATCAAAAATAAAGTTAAGCTCTAGGTTATTATTTTTCAGGATGGCCACTTAGCATGTGGCGTTGAGAGCTTAGGCATCTTTTAACACAACATGCAGCTTTAAGAATCTTGAAGATAGGCCGGGCGCGGTGGCTCACGCCTGTAATCCCAGCACTTTGGGAGGCCAAGACGGGTGAATCATGAGGTCAGGAGATCAAGACCATCCTGTCTAACACAGTGAAACCCCGTCTCTACTAAAAAAATACAAAAAATTAGCTGGGCATGTGGTGGCGGGCACCTGTAGTCCCAGCTACTTGGGAGATTGAGGCAGGAGAATGGTGTGAACCCAGGAGGCGGAGCTTGCAGTGAGCCGAGATCGTGCCACTGCTCTCCAGCCTGGGTGACACAGCGAGACTCCGTCTCAAAAAAACAAAAAAACCAATCTTGAAGATAAATGTCTGTAGTGAAAAATCATTGACTCCATTGAATTCTCCTTGTTCTCTAGCAAATGATACTGTAAATGCCATGAATCCCTACTCAGAACCCAGCCCCCACCGCTAGCATGGGAATCACCTGGGAGCTTTTTAGAACTGGAGAATCTCAGCTCCCCCTTCAGGCTTATTAAATCAAGATCTGCATTTTAATAAGATATCCTCAGTGATTCCGATGCACAAAGTTAGGAAACACATTGAATCACCTGGGGAGCTTGAGCAATACCAACACTTGGGAATTCCCCTCCCTCACTCCTCCTCAACCTCCCACCCCAGAGATTCTGATTTAATTCATCTGGGCCAGCCTGGGTGTAAGCTGGTGCCCATTCAGCTCCAAAGCCAAGCTGTATTCTAAAACCTGCTAGGTGCCGCTGTCTTGCCTGCCCCCTCTTTGTTGAACAAGGCAGAGTGAGTAGAGATTGAATGCCCACTTAGGTGACTGCCCCTGTGGGGAAAGCCCAGGCTACCCTAGCCAGCTCACCTCTGCACCTCCTGTCCTGGAGCAAACTAGAGAACAGTAACTCACTCAGCTGCCTTTCCCCTGCAGAGAAACGAGAGAACGTCATGTTTGTGCTGCCTCTGCATGGGGGCCACTTGGGCTTCTTTGAGGGCTCTGTGCTGTTCCCCGAGCCCCTGACATGGATGGATAAGCTGGTGGTGGAGTACGCCAACGCCATTTGCCAATGGGAGCGTAACAAGTCACAGTGCTCTGACACGGAGCAGGTGGAGGCTGACCTGGAGTGAGGCCTCCGGACTCTGGCATGCTCCAGCAGCCCTCCTCTGGAAGCTGCGTCCCCTCACCCCCTGTTTCAGGTCTCCCATCTCCCTCAGTGACCTGGATCTGACCTCACACCATCAGCAGGGGGCACCCACCATGCACACCTGTCTCGGAGTAGGCAGCTCTTCCTGGGAGCTCCAGGCTATTTTTGTGCTTAGTTACTGGTTTTCTCCATTGCATTGTTAGTCATGGTGACAAGTGACAGAGTTCTTGCCCTCTGTCCAGTTTCAGCATCTGGTTGCTTTTAAGCCAAGTACATCTAGTTTGCCTATTAAAAATGTGTCTGAATAGCAATTTTGCTTTGCCACCAAAAGGCTTTTCCCTGAGAACAGTGAAGGGTGTATGTCATTTTGTGGTGGTTTGTATGTGTCCTTACGTAGACCTTAAAAAGAGCTCACCCTTCCAGGCCAATGCTGAAGACACAGCTCAGCTTGGAAGCCTGAGAAGCCAGGCTTCCTAGGCCAGAGTGTGGCTTCTTAAATGGCAAAGGAAATTCCTTTGAGTCACAAGCCAAGTTTTCACCCTGTCTTCTAAGATCATTTCCCTACACTTTGCTGCTGCTGAGAGTTACATGGGGCACTTGTTAAAAATTCAGCCTCCCAGGTCCCTCCCCTCGGAAAGGCTGATTCACTGGGTCTGGGAAGGAGCCTGGGGATTTTAATTTTTGACAAGTGCCCCAGATGATTCTCATCACCAAGCAAATTTTGGAAATGCTGTTCAACAGCGCCCTTGAATTGGAAACATCTTCATAGCTCATTTTATTGAAATTCATAATCAATCAGGGGTATCCCCTAGCTCCCATGGTCTCCAGAGCAGCAAGGCCAGCTATGGAGCTGCCATCGTGTGACCACAGTGTGATGTCTCAGAAGGGCTCTGGGTGGGCTGAGCATCTGGGCTGTGCCCTGGCTCAGCTTTTCACCCTCAACAAAGTCCCTGTGGACTTCAATTTCTTCACCTCTAAAATGGAGGACTTGGACCAGGTAGATTGCTGAGCTCACTACCAGGTTCAAAGTTCAATGACAAACTCAGTTTACTGAGGTTTGAGAGAACATCCCTCCAGGGGAGCCTGGGAGCTGCTCTCCCAGTCTAAGCATGTAGATATCATCTTTTGCCTTTTGTGTGTGTGTGTGTCCCTTATTTGATAAAAAGATGTTTTGGTGTTTTTTTTGTTTTTTTTTTTTTTAAGCACTCACTTGTAATTTTAGTTTTTAAACCCAAGTTCCTCTAACTTTGCTTTTTGATACCAAACAATTCAAAAGTTGGACCTGAGTTTGGAGAAAGATATTTCCAACCTAAGTGGGTATTATTTTGAAACCAGATTTTTAATTTAATAGCCTATATTTGTAGTCTGTTGGATAGGTGTTTCCAAAGTGTGTCTTCTGAAGTGAAAACACAACTCTAGGTTTCAAGTACTCCTTTTCTCCGATCCTGTGGTACTTGAATATCTAAAAACCCTGCACTTTGAAAAATCAGCAGTTGCTATCTGGAACTAAACAGAACTATGAGTAAAATTGCCTGGATACTTTAAAAAAATAGTTTCCCTCCTTCATCTCCTTTGACTCCAGGACAGACTGGAATATAAGTAATGGGTCTGCATGGATGTTTCAGGGATGAAAGGAGCCACCTGAGCACCTGAATGCCAACCCTCAGGGCCACAGGTGGGTGTGGTTTGGGCACGGGTCCAAGTGACTGTGACGGGAACGTCTGTAACCTGAAGAAGTTGTTTTCTGACAATCACCAAATCATCTGAATAACATCAAAAACAGCCCTTGTCTCAGAAAATTGAGATTTCTGTGGTCTCAACTTTGCTTTGGTATAATTTCTGACACTCGCTAACCTCTATCATTATGACTTTCCCCCCAGTGTATTATTTCTCTAATACGTTTCCTTTTCATGTTCTTTTAGCACAAACTGGCACTTTACCCCTCAATTTGGAAGCTATTCCCTCTCCTCTGTTACTTTTCCCTTCACCCAACTACAGCTGTGATCCTGACGATTGATAGTCATATTTCTGCCACTACTACCTTCATTTCTCAAGGCTTTTTATGAGAATAGGTAAACCAAGCAATAACATCCTAGGATTGAATCACCACCACAGAAGAGCGAGAGGCTCCTTTCATATGCCTGAGGCCACACCCCTTAATCTATTCTGACAACATAGTGGCTGGCCCAGGTACTAGCACCCTTCAGAAATTTGGGAAGAGAAAAGACAGCCCTGTTGTCACACAAACCGGTGTGGGGGAGGGTGGAGCCTGGTCTGCATGGCAGTCCTGGTGGCCCCTGTGGAGGACAGGCAGGGCTGGCAGCATAGCCTTTGTTGCTACACAACCGGAATTTGCTCCCCCAGGACTGTGGGAGCCAGTGTCCCAGCTGAAATCTTTTTAGTGTGTGACTCTGAATGGCACTCACATTCCATTTTGGCTCACATGAAATTAACTGAAGCCCTTTGTTCAAGCTTCAGGCTCTTAGGCATGGAAATGCGAATGTGACTGTGGCTGTCTTACAGGAGAATTCTTGTTTGTCCCTGAATGAGAGCACAGAGGCATTGAATTTACAGAGCTGCAAACTTGCCTGATAAATGAGGGAGTGGCAGTTTATAGATAGGTCATCCTTTTTCCTTCCTCCAGGTGTCCTTGCCTTTCTTCCCAAAGTCATTCATTTCTGACGATTATATGAATCCCCCTTTTGCTAGTAAGGTTCTATTTGGGCGAAAACAAGGCTGAATTTTTAAAGAGTATTTGAATGTTATATTTTAGAATCAAATTGAGGTTATAAATTGCATCAACCGGACAATTCCATTGCAGGAATAATGTGTTAAAAACCAATGGGGAGAAGCACCCACATCTCTCCTGTAGTACTCTGTGTCTCATAAGCAATTTGAAGATACTTATAAGTAACTGATTCCAGTCAAATTAGGTTTAACTGACTCAAAAAATTGTGTCAAGTTTCTTTAATGTTTTTATGTTAGAAGTGAGTTTAACAGACTTGAAGAAAACTGTTATCTTTTCCTGCTGTGAGTTTACACGAATGATTCCAGAGCAGAGTGAAAGCAGAAAGCTGTTGGTTGCAATATTCTCCTCTCTGCAGCATTTTACGCTTACTGGGACCCTTATGGGTCACCATAAGAGTGGAAATATACCTAAGTTCTTGTCCTAATGGTCTGTAATTCACATTGGATCATGGGCAAATCACCTCACCTCTCTGAGCCTGTTCCCTCCTCTTAGACCATCTCTAAGACCATCGAATCTATTTACACATCATTTGCTTGAACATTGCTGAACATCTGTGTGAACTTGGCTTCTCCAGCCCTTGCAGGTGGAAACAACTATGTCAAGGCTCAAGGCTCATGCTGAGGGGACTTGGAGGGAGGGGGCTTCTGCATTAAGCTTTCGTGGTGAAGACCCTTGATCTTGTCCAAAGCCCTGTGTCTTTGACTGGCTTCTCTTCAGAGTCCCCATTGTCATCGTAAGATCCTTGCTATTCTGAGGGTGGTCTTGTGACTGTGGCAGGTGCTGGCCGCTGGAATGAGGAGCCTATCTCCATCCTCCAGTGTGACTCAGGCAGAGCATTGAGAATTCCCAGGGCAGAAATCCTTCCTGCTCAGGCTTTCATTCTAAAACTACAGTCTTCATTAAAGCTGAACTTTCTGGGTAGCTGAGCTTATATGCCCGGCATCTGAATGAGAGCTCTCTTTGTAACTGTGTGACTTGAGATCTATTTTGCCAGCTCCTGAGAAACAATACACGTGTTCTTGTTTGTGTTTGCTCGGCAAGCAGATGTCTGAGATGTAAGAGGCTTTTCTTTTCCTGTGCCATTGATTCCGACTTAGAGCTGAAGTAAAGATCACTGAAACATCACGTCAAGTTGAAGTCACTCATAGGTCTTTGTCCTTTAGGCAGGACAGGAGAGTCATTAAGAAGCATTTCACTGTAGCATTCTGTCACAATATCATCTGGAATTGTTTTCTTTGCCCAGAAAGCCTTAACTTGCCTCTAGAGAATCCCTGGTATTACAACAATATTGTGGCATTAGAATTCAAATTCTTCCGCTGTGGAAGTTTGAAGCGAAACTGCAGCAAAACCAGAGAATTTCCTCAAGTGGACTGAGGCTCCTTGTTATCTTATGCTCCCATCCCTCCCTCAACAATATGAGTGATCCAGAACTGGCCCAAACACCTCAGCTCTGGCCCCTTTTTACCCTTCTTGGCCTTACTCTGCTGTTCAGAGCCACTTTGGATTGCTTGGATGCTTTGAAAAGCCATGAAAAGTAGCCTGCCTGTGGCATTTAGAGGCCAAGCAATTGATGGAAAGTGTTTCTTCTACCTCTGTTATCTAAGCAGAGGGAAGTAAACCCCTTACGCCCCTACTGCCCCCAGTTACCCTAGAATTGCTTTTGCCAAATTGTAGTTGAAGCTAAGGAAGGGGGATCTGGCCCCTGCTGACAGAGGGAACTGGAATGCCACACAAGGCAAGGCCTGCTTCCTTCCCGTCTCTGCTGCTGCTCCCTCTGAATGCTGCAGCCCAGGCTTCCTCTTACAGTGGCCCTTGGAAGTAGGCTGCAGAGTAGACAGCTGCTTCTTTTGGAAGAGTCAGTCCCCCGTGTTTTCTGAACTGTTTTTCCTAGCATGTATGTGGGTAGAGCTTTCATGCATCTCAAATAATAAGAAGCTGAAGTTAGTTTTTTTTTATTCTCCAATTTAAAACTTTTATTTAAAAAGTAAACTATTATTAATGTCGAAAATGCAAACTTGGGGAGAGCAAAAAGATCACACATAAGGCTGTCACTTCACACTTGGAGGGTTGCACAGCAGCTGGGCAGAGGCGCTCCTCACTTTCCAGACGGGGCAGCGGGCGGCAGAGACGCACCTCACTTCCCAGACAGTGCAGCAGCCAGGCAGAGACGCACCTCACTTCCCAGATGGTGGGTGGCCAGGCAGAGACGCACCTCACTTTCCAGACAGTGCAGCAGCCAGGCAGAGGCGCTCCTCACTTGCAGCCAGGCAGAGGCGCTCTCACTTTCCAGACAGTGCAGCAGCCAGGCAGAGGCGCCTCACTTTCCAGACAGTGCAGCAGCTGTGGCAGAGGCGCTCTCACTTTCCAGACAGTGCAGCAGCCAGGCAGAGGCGCTCCTCACTTCCCAGATGGTGGGTGGCCAGGCAGAGGCGCTCCTCACTTTCCCAGATGGTGGGTGGCCAGGCAGAGGCGCTACTCACTTTCCAGACAGTGCAGCAGCCAGGCAGAGACGCACCTCACTTGCCAGACAGTGCAGCAGCTGGTGGGGCAGAGGCGCACCTCACTTCCCAGACAGTGCAGCAGCCAGGCAGAGGCGCTCCTCACTTCCCAGAAGGTACAGTGGCTGGACAGAGACACTCCTCACTTCCCAGACAGGGCAGGGGCCGGGCAGAGGTGCGCCTCACTTCCAAGATGGTGGGACAGCTGGGCAGAGGCGCTCCTCACTTCCCAGAGGGTGGGCGGCCAGCCAGGTGCGCTTCTCACCCCAGATGGGCAGCCCCCAGGCAGAGGCCCTCCTCACTTCCCAGATGGGGCAGGGGCCTGGCAGAAGCGCTCCTCACTTCCCAGAGGGTGGGCGGCCAAGCAGAAAGGCTTCTCACTTCCCAGACAGGATGGGGGCTGGGCAGAGGCGCTCCCCACTTCCCAGAACAATTCTTTATGAATTTCATAAAGGACTGAATGTGCAACTGAAACCTGCTAGTGATGATCTGGTAATATACAATTTGTCCAGTAGCCAAACAGTTTGTTTTTATTGTGTTTTCTAACCGTAAGAGATCATTAAACGCAAAGCCTATATGGCGCTGTACACACACAAAAGAAAATGGTCACTGCAGGCCATACTACCAATGAAATAGTAGGTAAACGAATCTTTTTCTGGTCAAGAAAAAAAAAAGGAAATAGCACTTTGTATGCTTCACTCTAGAAGATGAATTTCACTAGAAAGAATCCAATGAAGGCCGAGCATGGTGGCTCCCGCCTGTAATCCCAGCACTTTGGAGGCCGAGGCAGGTGGATCGCCTGAGGTTAGGAGTTCGAGACCAACCTGGCCAACACGGTGAAACCCCGTCTCTACTAAAAATGCAAAAATTAGCTGGGTGTGGTGGTGGGCGCCTGTAATCCCAGCTACTAGGGAGGCTGAGGTGGGAGAATTGCTTGAACCCAGGAGACAGGTTGCAGTGAGCCGAGATCATGCCACTGCACTCCAGCCTGGGGGACAAGAGTGAGACTCCGTCTCCAAAAAAGAAAGAATCCAATGAAAATGGCTGCAGTTACAACAAGAAGTGAAGGAAGAGGATTGGTGACATCTCTGAAGGATGCAGTTGAGGTTGATCCAGGTTTATCCGAATGTGCTACCTTTCTGAGCCTTAAACCTTCATCTCTCAGGTGTCGATTTTCTTCTGATAGCTTCACCATTTCTCCCTGAAGTCTTTTACACTCTTCTATTAGTTTCCTTGTTGCGGTGTCATTAAGTGAAACACTGTGTGGTTTTGGCATGGGTCCATCTTGTTCAGATGCATTCAGTGGAACAGCTTTGCTAGGTTCCATGTCATTCAATTTATCATTTTCATTGGGCATTTCAAATACACATCTCAATTTGGAATCCATTAATTCGTCAGGTTTTGCCTCTTTCCACACAATTTCCATATCTGAAGTGTTCAGTGGAGCAAAAATTGTACCATACACTTGTGTTTACTCTTTTCATTCGGATCATAGTCAAAGGGCTGTAGCATTACTGAAACAGTCACAGTTGACCCTGGGTCAATAATTCCACTGTTGGGCCTCACTCAGTACCGGTGAGGCGCTGTAGTCTTCACTTTGAAACACACTTTTCTATCCGATGGATTTCGCAATTTAAGATTTATAGTGACTACATCTGTGAAGGGGCCTTTGAATTTGAGGTCTGTGGGCAGGTCGAGGACCAGGACCTGCTCGTGCTTCGCCATGGCCCCGGAGGTGGACTCCATCAGAGAGACAGCACAGCAGGGAGGCGGTTTGCTCGCTGGGGTCGGGGGACGATGGTGAGGAGGGAGGGGGAGCGAGTTTGCATCTCTCCTTTTCCTGGTTAGACTCTGTTCAACCACATTCTTATGTTGGCAGATCTGCTTCCAGATTGACTTTTTGAGAACCATCACTTTCACATTCCTAGTTCTGATTTTGTTTTGTTTTGTTTGGGTTTTCTGAAACTTAAAATGCTGCCCTGAAAATACTATATTTTTGAGTTTGTGTTCTGAAAGCCTCTGTGCTGCTGGATCTTTGCGGGGGAAATGCAGGCTCCTTCAGCATTGAGGTGTTTAAGATTTGCAACTAGCAATGCAATTTTTTCTAAATATGGGGATATTTACCTTTAATAAGAAATTATACTAAACAATGATGTCCTTGATCATTTTATGTTCTCATATTCCTTTCGATTCTACTATGATTGTGTGGTGGTGAACAAAGATCATTACAAACAAAAACTGTAATTTTGTTATATTTGATTCAATGGAATTTACTTAAAAAATAAAGACTAAAAATGTGATGTGGCTATGTGTCCTTTGTATAGTGGCAGTTTTCCATCTGAAAGGATTCTTCCTGTGTCTTCACCAAAGTATGAGATTAATGGAAATACACAAAACCCCATTTTTGCACCACAATTGATGTTAGTCCATCCTCGCAAATACCAAAACCTTGACCGGGCCACAAGCATCTTCACAACCCTATCTTCTCCAGGCGAGAAAGCCAAGAACTAAAATAAGTGAAGTATCTGTTTTCTACTTTTTTATTTTTTAGAGAGAGATTCTTGCTCTGTGGCCCAGGCTGGAGTGCAGTGGCATGATCACAGCTCACTGCAGCCTTGACCTGTTGGGCTCAAGCAATCCTCCTGTCTTAGCCTCCCGAGTAGCTGGGACTACAGGGACTTGCTACTGTACCTGGCTAATTTTTTAGTTTTTAGTTTTTTGCTGTGTTGCCCAGGCTGGTCTCAAACTTGAGTTCAAGCAGTCCTCCCGCCTTGGCCTACCAAAGTGTTGGGATTATAGTTGTGAGCCACCATGCCCAGCCTCAGTGTTTTAATCATTTCTTAAAGTGAATCATGAAGACAAAATGCAAGGCAAGGTGTAAATGGTGCTTGCCATGTGTGATTTGTAGGCTTTTCCAATAATGTTCTTTGAAAAGACTAGGTGAGGCCGGGTGCGGTGGCTCACGCCTGTAATCCCAGCACTTCGGGAGACCGAGGCAGGTCTGAGGCGAACCTGAGGTCGGGAGTTCAAGACCAGCCTGACCAATATGGAGAAACCCTGTCTCTACTAAAAATACAAAATTAGCTGGGCGTGGTGGCACATGCCTATAATCCCAGCTACTCGGGAGGCTGAGGCAGGAGAATCACTTGAACCCAGGAGGCGGTGGTTGTGGTGAGCCAAGATCGCACCACTGCACTGCAGCCTGGGCACAAGAGTGAAACTCCCATCTCAAAAAAAAAAAAAAAAGACTAAGTGACCATTTCCCAAGTTAAGATTATATTGGGTTGGTTGGGTGCTGGTGGTGGTTTCTTATTTGAATCTGTCTGAACCCAAGCTAAGGTCTCCCAGGACCAAGCACTGGCTCAGCCAGGAGGGTTGTACCAACCCCAAGAGACACTCACAGCTCCCTTCCCTCCTTGGCCACACGAAACCTTTGTCAAGTTAGGCAGGGTGGGGAGTGTTAGCTTTAGAAGTTGTGCATTAACAAGACCTAAAAATGCCCAGTGCCAAATTTCAAAATTCATCCCTCTCTGGTAAGCAAGCTTCCCCTCGATTCATATCCCCCACAAAATAGCCAGACTATTTTGGCCCAAGAAAACCAACTTGCAAAGAATACTACCTATGGAAAGACTACATGGAAGAGATTTCAGGTCCAGGGCATTAGGCTGGTCAGTGCCAGCTGCATGCCAGTGTGGTCAGGCAGGACCAGTAGCACACGGCTGCCCTGTCCTGAGGCAGCCATACAGCATTTGTGTTCAGTGACACCTCACTCACTGCCCCAGTCATGCTATTTTTTATTTTACCTTTCCTTAACAGGCCTCTCTGCTCTAGTCCTATGGGGAGTGCTTTCCCTTGGTGAAGATCAAACACCTAACTGGATGGCCCTTCATATGACAGCCTCCCCTCCTCACTTCTCTCTTGGGTATCTTTAGAGGGAGTTCCATGAAAGTGCTGCCCTGTATGGGAGTGGTTGAAAGACATGACAGGCAATTTGGCCTCGGACTGGTGAACCCCTCCCCAAAGGGGCTAAATTAAACACCTCTCTCCATGTGGCTTTGTGTCACCCACACCTTCCTTTTGATTCATGCTGCCTACCACATTTACCCCAGCATCTCTACTTACGACTGGTTTCCTCTTTTTTTTTTTTTTTTTTCTTTTTGAGATGGAGTCTCACTCTGTCGCCCAGGCTGGAGTGCAGTGGCCGGATCTCAGCTCACTGCAAGCTCCGCCTCCGGGGTTTACGCCATTTTCCTGCCTCAGCCCTCGGAGTAGCTGGGACTACAGGCGCCCACCACCGCGCCCGGCTAGTTTTTTGTATTTTTTAGTAGAGACGGGGTTTCACCGTGTTAGCCACGATGGTCTCGATCTCCTGACCTTGTGATCCGCCCGTCTCGGCCTCCCAAAGTGCTGGGATTACAGGCTTGAGCCACCGCGCCCGGCCGGTTTCCTCTTAAAGTCATTTCCTCATCATCTGATGATAGTTGGTGAAATTAACCTGAAATATATGAAATTCTCATTTCATTGTTTCTTCTCCCTTCTCCTACCTGCACCTCTCCCACCCCCAGAAATAAATAAAACAAACATTGGAGACAAAGCATGAGTGGTAACAGAGCCAAAGAGATTTGGAGCCAGAGGTGCTGGGTCAGGGTCCCATCCTCGCCATTTCTAGCTCTTTGATCCTAAGCAGAATTTAACCTCTATTTATTTATTTATTTATTTATTTATTTATTTATTTATTTATTTATTTATTTTCCTATGGGAATAATTATACTAAAAATGCCTACCTCAGGATAATTGAGAGGTTCAGATGATATTTTTCAGAGTGCCGTTGTTACTTTGGACAGTGGTTCTGGCTTTATCTGTTTGGTTGCTACTCATACGTCATCTCCAAGGTAGAAACTACTAGAAAAGTGTCTGACGTGGTCCAGCTCCACACCAAGGTATCGAACTGATGGACTTCGAGGAAAGCGGAGCCCGGCCTGGTTATAGTTTCCAAAAACATTCCTGGGCTCAGAAGTGCTGAAGAGCCACGTTGTGTGCACCGTCAAGCCCTTATCCTTGTCTCTTCCTTCTTCGTATGTGGCCACCTTGAGAAATCAAGGTGTACTACGTGTACTGCCTACTGGCAAGGCAACTTCTGGGCACAGCCCCACAGCGGAAAAAGTTCTGGGACATTTAGCCTATCAGCTGCGGTCTTCCCACAGGGCTTCTGCAGCCTTCTCTGTTCTCTGCTCACGTGCAAAGTTTGCCTTTAAACCCACAGATATGAATACTTACTAGAGTGGGTTCCTCCATATCCTCACCTCCATATGTCAACATACAGGGTTTAGGCAGTGCACATTTGAGACACCTGCAGGGAGGTAGGCAACCACTGTTTTGTAAGCACTGATTGCCTTCTCTCTCTCTCTCTCTCTCCTCTCTCAGGGTCTCACTCAGGGTCTCACTCAGGTCTCAGGGTCTCTCAGGGTTGCCCATTATTAATAGGAGAGCAGTAGTGTGATCATGGCTCAGGCAGCTTTGAACTCCCAGACTTGAGATCCTCCTGCCTCAGCCTCTAGTAGCTAAAACTACACTGCATTTGGCTGATTTTTTTTTTTATAGGAACAGAGTCTTGCTGTGTTGCTCAGGCTGGTATTGAACTCCTGGCTTCAAGCAATCCTCCTGCCTCAGCCTCCCAAAGTGTTGGGCTTACAGGTGTGAGGCACTGTGCCTGGCCTAATTGGTTGTTTAATGTGCAGTCCCCTGGGGGTCTTGTTAAAAATGCAGATTCTGATGCAGCATGTCTGAGATGTGGCCTTGGAGCTTGGGAGCTCTAAGGTCCAGCCCTCCTTGGACCACCCTTTGAATAGTGAGGCTCCAGGAGATCCCACAGGCTTCCAGATCTGACACTTCTGAGCTTCCTAAACTCCAGAGCCAAGCCCCCAACAGAAAGTGGGATCAGAGGCCAGGCATGGTGGCTCACACCTGTAATCCCAGCACTTTGGGAGGCTGAGGAGGATGGATCACCTGAGGTCAGGAGTTCGAGACCAGCCTGGCCAACATGGTGAAACCCCGCTCTACTAAAAATACAAAAATTGGCCGAGTGTGGTGGCATGCACCTGTAATCCGAGCTACTCCGGAGGCTGAGGCAGGAGAATCGCTTTAAGCTGGGAGGCAGAGGTTGCAGTGAGCCAAGATTATACCACTGCACTCCAGCCTGGGTGACAGAGTGAGACTCCGTCTCAAAAAAAAAAAAAAAAAAAAAGGTAGGATCAGCAGTTGTCCACTTCACCTCTTTCCCTGCTAGCTTGAATTAAGAGAAAGGTATACTTCTTCCAGTAAGGCTTTGCCAGGCCCCCAGGCAGCACTAAACTCCTCCACTTTCCCCTGGGTAAACCCGAGGCAGTGGCCAATCTCATTGAGAGGCTCTCTGAAGCTGGCGCCAGTTTCCTTCCTGAGACCTCCACCCACAGCTGAAATTGCCTCCAGACTCTGCTGTCTGCATTCTCCCAACGACCACATTAGCATGGCAGAAATGCATCGCTGCAACCTTCCAACTCTCAAATTACTTTGATGAGGCAGAATCTCTGCCTCATCCCAGATGTCCCCAGAAAGGGTTGGGCGTGGTGGCTCATGCCAGTAATCCCAGCACTTTGGAAGGCTGAGGCGGGAGGATCACCTAAGGTCAGGAGTTCGAGACCAGCCTGACCAACACGGAGAAACCCTGTCTCTACTAAAAATACAAAATTAGCTGGGCGTGGTGGCGCATGCCTGTAATCCCAGCTATTTGGAAGACTGAGGCAGGAGAATCCCTTGAACCCAGGAGATGGAGGTTGTGGTGAGCTGAGATCTCACCATTGCACTCCAGCCTGGGCAACAAGAACAAAACTCCGTCTCAAAAAAGAAAAAAAAGAAAGAAAGAAAGAAAGAAACAAACAAACAAAAAAACAGATGTCGCCAGAAAGGAAGTTGTTATGGGCACCAAATGGTTGTCATAAAATTCATATTTTGTCGTGCCCCTTCCCATAGCTGGTGGCCTTCAAAAGAGTATCTTATTGTCTCTCTCCAATAATGTGGGGGCCATTTGTAGGAATCACACACATAGGCAGCTGGGATTTTGTGAGGCTGAGCACGTCAGATTTTAACATTGGTGGTCTTCAAACACATTTTCCCAAAAGTGGAACCACCTCGGGCAAGGTCTGGCGCAGCCCACCCAGCTAACCCTCCTACCCAGTTTGTCCCTGGAGGGGCAGTGTCAGGGCACGGCCAGCAGGGGGCAGCGCGAGCACACAGTCAGAGCCGGCTCACGGGATCCCAAC